GCAATAGAGAATATAAATTTACTTTTCGTTTACCTAATTGGTCAATACAGACGATAGTTGTAGTTAGCCCGATCAGCAGCTCGCTGTCGCCAGTAGGAATACCGAGTGCCTTCATATCGTTGGTCACCTATATGTTCCGCCGAAGATGAAGACATTGTTTTCCGATTTTGCCACTAAAGAATACCTAATCAAACATCTTTTTAGCTAGACTATTTTTATCCATGAACAATATGCACAAGTCAATGGTATCACTAAATTTTTATGCACATAACTATGTCAGTGTTTCGGTGCAGTTCATACAGCTCATAGTTCCAAATAATTCGATAGTTATTACTAACGCAAATGAGTCAATAAATTTTTTAATAATTTCTCATCATTGTTGGTTTTGGTCCAAGATTCTAAGATTCTACACCATACAGCACGACAGGCTTAACAAGAGACAGGCATATGTATAGAGCGTGAATACTTGATTTTTGAATTGTCTATCTAAGCTAAAGTAACATATTTTATGAACTTCTGTTCTGTTGTATTTTCTGTTGAGTTTTCTAGGTAATGCACAGAACCTATTCCATCAGTTTAAATCCAACTCTGTATTGGAAACAGACACGGATATTATTTCAGTAATTATTTAAATCCTTAAATTAAACAGCTGCTGGTAATAATAATAACTTACTGGCAAGGGGCTATAAAGAACTACTCATACAAGCCATTTATACATTTCCATATTTCCCTATCGTAATATAGAACTAGTTTTATACTTGAAACATTTATGAGGTTCCTCATAGTACTGGATATATGGCCGTAGTTCTAAATTTTTTGAACTTAAATAAAATTCTAGTTTCTGAATATAAATATTTTTTGCTCCATTCCTATTCGTTGGGATGCTTCCGAGATATATTATTAGTTGTAACATTCTAGTTCCATTATTTTTAATCCAATGACAAGTTTAAATGCAATTGCAAATTATAATTGTCACATAAATATTTTAATTAAGTTTAGCAACTTAGCTAATATTTCCATTTATAAAGTGCTTTTCGGAATGGTACTATTTAAGGTGATAAGGTTACGAAGGAACCATTAAAATTTGTTACGTTGTTGAAATATGATATGTGTCCCACTAAAAACATCAATGCAAGATCCATTTGGTTTAAATACAACTTGCTTTTTAATCAGTGAGACTTATACAATATTGAAAATCCTAGCCAGGATAAATGATGTAAGTGCTTTGCTTGGAATTGAAAGCATAGTCATGTCCCTGTAGTTGTTGTCTTCGAAAGTATCATCATTTTTGGTAATTTAACCTTGTCTCATGGACACGATAGTTCTATAATTTCCTAAATTCTTTTGTGGAGGGAATCAAAATTGTTGTCGCTTACTCTATAATACACTTTACAAGCTCCACGTTTCTTAGGAATATGTTATTTTTGAAATATTTACCACCATCTAATACTCCAATCTTTGTTAGTATTGCGCAACTAAATTTTTGAATTATATTCCTCATGTTCGTTGTATAACGTAACTTATTGTAGAAAAACTGTCCTAGCGGGCTGTTAAATACTTTGTGGATTGTATGAGCAGTTCTTTATAGCCACTTGTCAGTAAGTTATTATTTTTCCCCCAATTTGCCAAAGAGATGATTTCCAACGCAGATAGTAACCCCACATTCATCGAACGCATTATAACTGGTGATGAGACATGGGTCTATGAATTTGACATGCCCACCAAACAACAATTGACCGAATGGTGCTTCGAAGGTGAGTTGAAACCGAAAAGAGAACGCCAAAATCGGTCCAAAATCAAGGTTATGCTGACTGTTTTCTTCGATATTCGTGGTGTTATGCACTATGAGTTTCTTCCGGATGGTCAAACGGCCAAACAGTCAATAAGGAGTATTATTTTGTTATTATGCGTCGTTTGCGTGAGGCCATTCGCAAAAAGAGGCCAGATTTATGAAAGGAAAACTCATGGATTTTACACCATGACAACGCACCGGCTCACACAGCGTTGGTTGTGTCGCAGTTTGTGCCAAAAACTCCACCAATATCATCAACCAAGCACCGTACTCTCCAGATATAGCCCCGTGTGACTTTTTCCTCTTCCCCCGAGTCAAATTGCCGAGGACGAGGAACGCGTTTTGAGACCACAGAGGCCATAAGAGAGAATTCGCTGCGTGAACTAAACGCCATACCTTCGGCGGCCTATAAAACTTGTATGGAAAATTGGATCAAGCGTTGGCATGCATGTATTGCCGTAGGAGTAGAGTACTTTGAAGGCGATAATAAAGAAAATTATTAAAAATTAAAATTTTGCGTTTTTTTTAACTTTTCGTTCTTTTTTGATCAAATGGTATATATGTTGCGTTTCACTTGAATACCACACTCAATTTGTTTTTTTTATATTATTCATACAAATAAAAAGAATTATTGGTTTTTAATTTATATTTATAGTGGGATTAGTGGAGCTCCCTTTCAGTTAAGGAACATGTCTTTAATAATTGAAGGTATTAATAATAATTGAAGGAGATCAAAACTATGGATTATTTTACATATTTAACATGCTATTCTCTCACATATTCATATTAACAAACATTATTGTAGACATATCAAGATTGATTCGTCTTGACAAGCTAATGATGAATATACGTATTTTGTGGGGTTTCCTTTATATCCTGCATTACGATGTGTATATTTTAACGAATGTTTATAATTTCTTACCTTTCTGATACAAAAAGTACAATAAAATAATTGCGTTTATAAATTGAGTTATTACGAAATTCTGTTTTACCCCTCATGTTTATTATTGCTGACTCTCAGTCTGTAGTAGAAATCCACAGAAATGAAATTTAATTGATGTTTATATTACATTAGTTGTTGCATATTTATTGAGCACTTTCAGGTAAATATCTGGGAACTTGTATTACCGCAAGTAACCCACGTTAAACGCAAATTCGTATCTACTCCTCGAAATTAAATGAACACACCTTAATTGCAACTTTACGTGGTTTTCACTACTTTACTGCATAAATAAACGAAATGCAGCGTAAATGGGCAAACAGACTAAGTGCCAACGCACACTTAAATTCTCATTACATAAAAAAGCGAAAATAAAGCGACTCTGAAGATTATTTGCACATTTCCAGACTTGAAGTAAACTAATGGCTTTGCTTATGGTAGCCAATTATCGAGAAGGAACTGCACGGAACTATTATGTGCAGCTATTATGAACATTTTTAAAATATTTCAAAAAGATGTGTTTTGAAAATAAATGTTTAGTCAAATAGATAATATGCTTTCTTAGACTTAAGTAATGTAGTATTATTATTTTTTTCTAAGTGCGTTTTAAAAGGATATTAAAATATGTCAATGTCTTTCAGAAATGCTAAGTAAATTTTTTACTATAATCATGTTAGGGAATTTAGCACTGCGACCTAAGGATATATTGTGCCTCTTTGATGGACTTTAAGTATTCGAACGAGTATGACTTTTCATATAAGTTGTAGTGTTGAATTCAATTCACCGATTTGAATGAGGTGTTTCTTTAAAACTGGTCAGCCTTTCAGCATGTGCTTTGAGGTGTCAACCTTACCTTAGAAATCCTTAAAATTACACTTGAATATAAAAATACACTGTTGTTTAGATTTATACAATCCAGCATTTTAGGCTTTTAAGTAAATTTCAGTTGTGAAAACTGTAGTACAGCGGTTTCTGTTTCTTCTCTTCTAAGTAATTAAGTAATTAATTCAGCTACAAGTAATTAAATTTACTTTAGCTATAGAATGGTTACATCCCAGAATGGTTACATCCCGTAACCATTCTGTATCATTCTATATCCAGTTAGTGACCATGCGGTACCCAGTAAGATTGCTTCACTTCCAGCAAGTTTTTCTGATACATGCCCTGCATCATCTCCAAAATGCGTTGGTGTTTTCATTAAGCACCTTTCCGTGGCAGTAACTCTTGGTATTGAAACAGCTTTTAACACCGTCTGGTTCGAAGGTTTGATCCACAAACTCTTCTAACACTCTACAGTGTTGTCCATACGGTCCTCTCCAATAGATTCTATCAAGTTGGAGTCGTTAAAGTTAGGTTACCTTTGAACAATCAGCTACTGCAATTGAACTCGATACCAAACAATACAAGAGATAGAAATCGGACTGATCCAATAATAACGACCCATTGAATGCACACGCTTACGATTTGGATCCTGTAACGTTAATACCTTATAACAAACAGGAATCCGCAGGGAAATAGGTGACGAGGGAGACCGAAGCTTATATGGCGCTGTACTATATTCAAAGGAACTGCAAAAATATATAGCGAATTACGACATAAAGCATAGTTTATATTTTTAATAGAATTCGACTAATAATAATAATATCGAAATTGGTTTAATTATTTTTTTTCACTATATTTTCCAGATACACTACGCAATGTTTATATTTGTATTTAAATTGAAACATTGGTTTGTGGTTTAATCATTGATCTTTAATCACAAAGAAAAACGGTAATAAAATATTTTGAGATATCTTAATTGAATATTTTAATTAAAAACGTTCCGTAAAAAATTGGGAAAATAATAAACAAAGCGAATTCAGTTGAAAGGTGGCTACATACTCTATTAAAACGTCGCTGAAAAACTTCCCCATCCTTAATTATTTGTTTTAAATTTATATTCAATAAATAAAGACATTTTTTTATTTAAAAATATAAGATTTTATGGTCCCAATTCCAACTAAACTTTATAGTATTTAAAATTGTATTTAATTTTGGTACACAAATAAATTTTTTTAAAATAACAAAATTTGTATTAAAAAAATAGAATAGTTTCTTTTGCAAAGTCCTCTAAATGGATTTGATTCCTACAACATCTACATTTTTGAATTTCTTCTTGAGCGTTTTGCACATTATCTGTAAAAGTTATTAACGACGTTGATCAATTGGTTATTGGAAAGTTTTAGAGTTACCTGCTTAGTTTTTTTTCTTGATGCAACGCTCATTTTTTATTTAAATCTTGATCGGATTTATTCCTTTAACATAAAATAATTCTTAGTTAAGCATTAGGTTTATTATATATATTTCTCACCATTTGACGTGATAGGAACTCACGACCTAGCTTTTTATCAGACACCTCGGCGCTGCCACGTTCTTTTCCCTTATCACTCTTGGATGCATCTGCCAAAAACAATATGTATATAATAAATATTTGATTACTAAGTGCTACGGGAGTTACCCAAAGTTAGAAAACGATAATCACGCTCATATTTAGAAGAGGTTCCTTCACCGTAGTGTTTGCCACATGCTATTTGCCAAATCATATACAAAGTACATTAAAATTGTTATGAACTTTAAATAAACTTGATATAATTTTACCAAATTCCTGATTTTGACTTTCTTTTGCAGATCCACATAAAAGATCCCCTTTGGATTGCTTGCGGTTAACTGTTCGGTTAAAATAATTTTGGTTTAAATCTTTTTCGATAGTTAGGAAAATTTATGAGTAATGAAATTCTGACTCTTACCAGCAGATTCATCAGACCCATACACTGGAGTTTTTCTTTCACGTGCAGAAAACAGTTGAGGACGGTTCGCATGGCGCTTTGATTTCGACGAAAACATAATATCAAAGGACATGCCACTTTTACAGACCTTCAAACCTGAAGCAGCGCATGGAATATCTTTTCGAGGAGTGTCCATTTTTGAAAAGATTCGTTGTTCTAAGCACTTTAAAATCTGGCAATCAATTTGTAATTTAATTTGTTTTGAAATTTTTGAAGTTAACTGTATTACAAAAAAGTTTAAAATGAATGGATTTCTTTTGGAATGAAAATTAATGAAACTTCTTATTTCAAAGTTATTTTTTTCTGTGACGTATGAAACAAAACATATCTGATTTTATACTAGGATGTTATTGTTGTTGTGGTTGTGGTTTGAGTTAGTGCTATTGCGCACTTTTACTCTTTATTATTGTTTTGATATATAATTGATATTAAATTCATACCACACTTTTACAAATGATAATGATACATCATCCTACTCAGGCCTGGTTTCAATCAGCTTGGGTGTTTCTAAATTCTTACCACAGCGACATCTGTAATTGGGCGATAGTAGGTGAAATATCTAAACTTTATTTACCTATAGTCAAAATTTGAGAAAATATTTTTATCATTTTATTGTGATATGACATTTTATGTGGTGTCAATTGATGTAATAATTATGCTTTAATTTGGATAAAAGTTTTATAGAAATGTGTGAAATACTAAAAAATGTGTATGAAAATAATTGTATATCCATCGCATTGTTTTTCCGTTGGGTTGTCTACGTCCGTTAAAATGAAAGCATAAGAAAGCATTGGTACATCCCCACCAAAAATAATTTACAGTATACAAAATACAAGAAAGTCACGAAAAAAAAGGAAGATTTACCATAGCTGTAAGCCATCATGGTGTTTGAACTCCTGATTGGAGGAGGAACTTAGAGAGTAGCAAGACTTGTCGACTTCTAGGTTATCTCTTAACTGAAATTGATGATAAAAGCAATCGCGTCTTATCATCCCCGTCATCTAAAATGTTTCACCTGATAAAATGAAATGATTTGTGGAAAATGAATATATATTAATATATATTATTATGAGTGTATGAGTATTTAAGGAAGTTGAATGAAAACATTATGCACTATGTTCATACCGAAGGAGACTATTTTAAATAAATTATAATAAAGATTAAAAATAATAAATGCTTTTTAAGTATTCTGAGATTGGAACAGACTGTGCATATTTTTTTTTTAAATATTTTTATTTTTTGTAACAAATTTACTCGTATTTCAGTTATATTTAAGCAGTTCTTAAATTTAACAATTTATTTAAATAAATTTCATTGCTTTAAAATATTGTTTTTATGGTAGACAGTAAGTGGATGCCTTATATTCTTTGCTAAGATACTAGTTGGTGACAGTTACAATTCTTTTTTTTTTTTGTAAAATTTCGTGTTTGTATTCCAACTCACGTCATTGAAATTGAGTTCCATTCAGAATTTTAAGTACACATTTGAAGTTATTTTAAAGTTGCTCACGTCCTAAGTAATTCAAAATCTCTTGAAGCGATTTAAGGACTCAAATTATGGTAAGGAGCAAAATTTGTTTATACACAAAATTTGATTTTTGGACACAACAACGAATATATATATATATATTTTTATATATTTATCCATAATACTTTCATTTGTATTCACATCAATTTTATATTGATGTAAATATTGCATATTGTATAGTTGTATAGTTTTATATTGTTTTATTTTATGTTATATGTATTATATTTTTATATAATATATAAAATGATTAAACAGAATTATTATCAATTAATTTATATAATCCATACACATAGATTATTTTTCCAAATATTGTATTACCAATATTAACACAAAACCGTTTTATTAATCGAAAAAAGTGGAACTAAATCTGTGACGAAGTAGTAAATATTGTTTTTGATAGTTTTAAACATCTTAGAATTGACGAATTTTAGATTACATCTAGTAACTAAAAGCTCAACATATCCATAGAACAAAATTTAATCTTCGACATCAATGACTGAGTGATAAGTATTTATCATGGCAATTCAATAGATGCTTTGTGATGTACTGCATAAGTGTTTTTGAGTCTTATATACGATTTCCTGGCTTTTGATAAACCTTTGTTGTACCCTACATTTGCGCATGTACCCTTAAAAACGTTGGTGGTTTTTCTGAATAATAAACTATATAGTGTATAGTACAATAATATAGGTATGTAGTAAATATTAGCACTTTGTCAGTTTTACATTATCGTACATAATTGGAATGGAAAATTACATAAAAAATATATATAGCTTTATAAATTATATAAAAGAAAACTATATTAACATATTAACTTCGAGAACGCTTCAGAATAAAGCTCAATATAATATATTGTCGTCATAAACAGTGGTAGGTCGTTTGTTCCTTTAGAAAAATGTCCCACACTTTAGCTGTATTTTTAATTTTTTAATAATTTTTAATAAATAATTTAATATTAAAAGTTTTATTAATATCTCATAATGGAACTTAGTTTAATTGTTTGATTTAATCAAATATTTCAATATATCGCCAATAATGTAGTTTCTTTTAGGACAACGGAAAATTGCCTATGTCATTTTCAATTGGTATATCTGGGTTAAATTTTTCAATCGATAATCACTTTTAGTGCAATTTCCATGTTCGAATGATAAATCTAGAGCAAAATGTATAACACTCGAGATTAATTTATAACACTCTACATATTTTGCCAGAGTAGCAAGATCACCGTGTAATTAACAACTAGCTGATATGACTTAAGAAATAAAATATGATTTGATTTGATATATATATTAATGAAAGATATGTCTACTATCCCTATTACAAAAATGTTCAATTTACAGATTTGACGGATCGAATAGATTTTTTGCTAACATTCCATCTAAACAATTATATTTCGAGATTCATATAAATGCTCATTGAATAGGTGATTATTACATCATGAAATAAGTTATAAATATTTTCGCTATTGAAGACGATTGTAGTTCTTCTAGCTCGTTTCATATCTTTAAGCGCTTAGTCTTTTGTGTGTCCTATTTTAACTTTGTTTGCTTCTAATATTGTTAGGCGGAGTAAAATCTATAATCTATATCTATAATAATCTATAAAAATTTCATGGAGTATTTTTTTATTAGTTATTCCCACAACATACTCTAGATCTACCCATTTCAGTTTTTTATTTTCGAGTTTATCGAGAAGTGATCTCTGGTATAATGGTACACTTTTTTGCTGATTTTTTACTTTATTTTGCTTTGTTTTGCTTATTTTTTGCAGTAATAATGCTATGTCGATTGTTTGTATGGAACGGAATTAGGAAAATGGCACTCTTAATTACAGCTGGGGAGAAAAAAAACTCTTCATGATATTGACATTTACACGCCAAAAATGTGAGTGAATAAAATTAACTATATTAATTAAAAGTCTTCAAAAGTCTTTCGAATTAAATATGAATAAAGTTTTAAAATTACTTTTAAATAAAATATGATTTTAAATAGGAAACCTAAAGAGATTTTCGAAATTTTATTTGATATTTGTGTCAATTAAAGTAATTGACCGAAATTGTTCCAATTTTAAATAATAATGATTTATCTGAAGTAACCACAATTATGGTCAGTTAATACCGCCAAGGTATTTTCGGTTTTTGTGACATGTGAAGTTTAGTTTTTGGTTTCGGCTTTGATACATCTTTAACTCCTTCATTTTGTTCTAAAGTGGAGCAGCAGGGCCTATCCTTCATAACTACTAAACGTTTTCCTGAAATACCATCCTTCTTAACTTGTGGTGTGAGCTTTTTTGTTGCTTTTTGCTGCTTAGGTAATTTCACATCTTTCGATTGTTTATTACATTGGGCATTTGTTGCAATCAGGGCCGGTTTTATTTCCATATCTTGTCGCAATGGCTTCATTACTTCATTCATCCGCTGTAGCATTTCTTTACACTGTTCATAGCGTAGGGTAACTTTTTCGAAAGTTGATTTTACTTCATTCCTGAGTTCTTCAGAACTAAGATTAGGTACATTATATTCGCTCGTATCTATAAATTCCAATTCTATTCTCTCTGCATGTTTTTGAACTGCGTTTTCAATAACTTCAATTTCATTTTTACAGTCCTTATTGCATTTATTATCTTCTTCTGTTTCATTATCACCATCATTTTTGTGAGAATGGCAAGGTGCTGGACACAGACGTTCATTACCTATTTCTCCCAGTATTTCTTTTTCACCATTATCTTTGTCAGATTTGTTGTTTGTTGGACACAGCTGCCCATTAACTACTTTTATCAATAATTTTTCGTCACCTTTAACTTCTTCTTCTACTGAACACAGGCTTTGACTTACTACTTCTTCCAGTAATTCATTCTGAACTTTACTGTCTGTTGGACATAGGTGTTCACTAACTACTTCTTCCAGTAATCCTTGCTCATTTCTAACTTCTTCAAAGTTAACTTCTTCTGCTATCACTGTTTTTTTATTCTTATTTTCAATGTCGTCAACCTTAAGTTGATTAGTGGCCAGCACTTGACTGTCTTGATATGGAGGGTCCTTTAATTTCGTAACATTTTCCATTTGTTTTAGCTTTGAAAAGCAGTCTCTCAATATTTTCTGTCTGGTTATGTTGACTTTGTGGGCGGCGTCTTTTAATTTAATTGATTCATTCTGAGCTTTGCGTTGTATACTTAGAATTTTTTTGGTTCGACGATCATCACACTGTTTCATCCTTGAACTCAATCTCATTTTCACAAGTTCTCTATAGCTTGTGAATAACTTAAGCCGATTCTGCTTTACCTTACTAACCTTAAGTAACACATTACAGTTTTTATAACGGTTCTGACACAGGCGTCTTTGTGCTGCTTCAAATAGTTTTTGTCTAATTTGTTCTAGGGTAGGTTTTTTCTTTATTATTGACCTCATTTTCTGATCAGGTATTTGAGCTGAGAACGTAATACCTTTTGACGTATTCGTCCATTTATCAGTTTTTTGAGTTTCATTTTCACTCAAGTATGGAGAACCAATATGTTCTTTATAAGGTATGGTTTGTGATAGTTTTGCAGAGTCTGTAGAATCTGTAGGAGTTCAGGTATTAGTTAAAGGTTATACTTTATTGTTAATCTTACCAGAATTCTGTTTTTGATCGCTTAAATTGAATTCTTTAGGAGTGATTAATTTTTTAAATGGATTCACCGACGTAGATGAAAATTTGATATCAAAACACATTCCATTTTTTTTCACAATAACATTTGTTGAGGTGCATGGAATTTTTATGTCATCCATATCCATTTTTTAGTAGAAATTGATTGTGATAGGTTTGAAGACTTCGCAATTTAAAGTATTAATGATTCACAAATTTATATGTTTTTGAATACGATATGTGAATTATACCAAAATTTTGTATACAGTTTTTTAAAAATATGTTTTCTATAGAATTTACAAAAATCTAATTAGAAAAGAAAAATTTTAACGAATATAGGAAAATTTCTTGGCTTACTTAACAAAGTATTTTTAGAAAAATGTCTTTCAAATTGCAAAGAATCTTTGAATGTAAAAAAATACGAATTAGAAATTAAAGTCTGGAAGTTTGGATGTATATGGCTATGCAAAAAATATCAACTTTGAAGTCATAACATACAGTGACTCCGAAACATTAGAAACAACGATATTTATCACTATCTTCACTGAAATATGATTAGCCAAATTTCATTAGTGGAACTCCGCTAACATATAAATAAAGAAGCCCATCAGTTGTTCAACCATCTGAGATATTGACGCAAACCCAACAATATTTTTTAAAATATTTTTTAATATTTTTTAGTATGTTAATAGGCCTTTTTTTGTACTTGTAATAATTTAATACAAATAGTTAGCTAGACAGATGTAACTAGGCGTTGGGTTGGGTAGGATGTAAAACACAAATTTAAAACATAAGCAAAATTGCTTATAACTGCAAAAATATTTATTAATCAAATTTTCTCTCATTGCCCACACAGTACCCCAGTTCCCCAGGTACAATATGCTTATGCCAAGTATTTCCAAATTAGGGTAACAACAGTTAAAATTGATTTTTTTGATTCCCCATAGTAAGAGCAAATACTGTATTTTAGTACAATTGTAGAAAAATTTAATACATTGCAAAAAAAAATCTGTTGTAGAACGCAATATATTAATATATATATATATATACATCTTACATACTTGCCTAATATGCTTAAAATTTTATACATTTATTAATCTTTAACGCGGTTAGAGTTCAAGGGATTTTAATATATTTATACTTCGCTATAATGTACATATATGAACTAAATTTTTTTAAAATATTAGAAATCCTTTTAAATTGAATTAGCTTGGTTATAACTGATCGTTAGCAAATTTTGGTTTCCATTTCCTGCTTGATCTTCAATATTCACTGGCTTAGGTCCAAATTTTTTCTTTATCAACAATTGAGATTGTTTCACTTTTGCCACAGCTCGCTGTAATTTGAGAGTCTCTGTATGAGCTCTACGTCTTATATTTCTTAAAAAAATTAATCGACTCTCAACAGCAATTTTCGACATAAAGGTCATATTTACCAGAGTGTCGGTTCGAAACGCAAAATTTAATTGCTTTCTATTTAACGAAACTCTGTTTATCTGTGAATCCTTTTTGCCCACAAATAACTGCTGTCTTTGCATTCTTCTTTTTTCTGCATTAACTAGTTTTTGATCGATTTCTGCTTTGCTAACCAGTTTCCCACGTACTGATTCCAGTTTTGGATATGTAACCAAAGGTTTTGGACAAGAGAATATAATTTCGAATGATAAGCCACCTTTGGTTACTTTTCCTATTGGTTGGCTAAAAGTTTTATTAGAAAAATACCAGAATGGATTGTCATCCGTTTGTGTTGCACGTGTTACTTGTGAAGTTTGCATCTGAGTCTAAAATAAAATTCAAATTTTTTTTTTGCAGTTATATATTTCACTGCAAGATCTAAAAGAACTTACAATTCTAGATTCTCGAGCATATAATCGTGCTATTTCCATGTTCAATTTGAGGATTTCACTTTGTAAATTTGTGATATTCTCATTTTGAGCACTGAGGGAATCGTTGATTGAAGGCAACATTCTTAAAGTTAATAATTTTGAGCCAATTCGGATCAGTGTTGCAATTAATCTAATCATTCTGTATTTGCCAAAATTTTGAATTAATAAACTGCGAAAATCTATCTACCAGTTTTATATATGCATAAAAATTGATTCATAAATTCTTTTAAAATATATTGATTCTTTTTAAAATTATATATTGTTTTTAAAATAGAATATTATGAACATTTTTTACAAATATTTTTCGAATTTTGACAGAAATGTCAAACTGAATTAGTCTTTTTATTTTGACATTTAGCACTTTGTATTTGAAATTTAAAGATGCAGGCTTCCCATCAGCCTGCTCCCAACTCTGTGGAAGCTGGCAGAACGAGTAATCCTGGGTAGGCTAAAAACAGTGGTGAACGCCCTAAATATCCTTCCGGAAGAATAATTCGGGTTCAGAGATGATCTCTCCACGGAACTACAACTAGTCGGAACATCGCAGTTGATACTAAAGTATAGGAATTGTTATAACAGTAATCATAAATATATTGATGGTATAAACAGGGTTATCTATTTTCTGGTCCTGTTTTGATAGTATAGTTTAAGTGATATATGAATTTAAAGTAATGTACTAACCGCTGCGCGTTTTATAATTGCGGGCAAATTAAAATAAAAATAGTGACAAGTCTTCGTATTAAATTTTGTTAAATGATGAGACTCGTAAGTAAATGTTGAAAGACAATTGTATTCACAAAACATCACTGTTTGATACGGTATAGGCAATCGAACTCTTTGCCCCCAACTCACATACCTGCCTTCTTGCAGCCATGTGGAAGATATGAGGTTTTAACCAATTTTGACATTTGTTTTCATTGAACGTAAAATTTAAAAGTTCATTTAAGTGATCATAAATAAAAATTATTTGATATTAACTGACTTCTAATTTTAATTTAATTATAGTATTTCTTAATCAATTAATCTTATGAATTGATTACAGAAAGAAAACGGGTATTTAGGGTCGAAATTATTTATATTTGTTGCTTAAAGTTTTCCCACATACATATGAAAAATTAGAAACGGACCCTAACAAGGATATAACAATACTATAAGGATGGATTCACTAGTATTTTTGGTATCCATATTTTGCTTTGTTCATTTTGTATATGCTGACCGATAGGCAAGCTTAGAAATTTCGGTTCTAATTATTGTTTTGAATAAGAATGATCTTTACAGCATAAAAACCATCTTGACGAACCTGATATACCCTTTACTCAATGTAGTTTGAGAAATACAAATATTTACATTTATGTATATACATTTGTATATACCTAAATGTGAGAAACATATTCTTTTTTTAATTTGAGGAATTTTTTGCTTTGTATATATGTTTTTATTATTATTATTCTGTATTTATTATTCATTGCTATTAATCCAAATAGAGTATTTGGATTTTGTTCAAAGTCCATTTAAACATTAATAGGATTCGCAATATAAGTAGATTAGCATATATATTTTGTTATTAAAATATTCTGTATTCTCAAAAGCACTAAAATTTTATTTTTAAGCTTGTAATATTGATATAATAAAAAATGATTTATAAATAATTTTTATTTGCTTAACAGTTAACAGCATTCACTCATACGCTCCGATGTACCAAAAAGCTTAGTTTGTATGAACATTTGTTGACATGTGAAAAATAAAATACATAAAATTCATTAATAAATTTAAATTAATGTACAGTTTGTTGTTAACCAAACCAAAACTTAAAATTTAATAAAAATATGATTTCAGTTTAAATTAAATAAATTAATTTTATTTATATCTTAACATTTATATTTGTATTTGTAATTAACCCATTTTATTTCACTTTATTTAAAAGTATAGTGAACTCTATAGCTTTCCATATAAATTGAAAGCTTTAAAGAATACCTTTAAAATTCTATTTTTACATGTCAATTAAAATGTTTTTTTTTGTTTCTTAGTGATATATGTGCATAGTTTTGCATAGTTTTGCACTTGTTTTTTGTTTATTGTGAGAATAAATTGTCTCTGTTTATTGTTTAACTTAATTTTACAGAAACTACCGTTTCTAACGCACACAGAATTCTCAAGTAATTTTCCTGTTGGAAATACTCTGAAACTTAGTGTAATCCCATGAGAACATAAAATGTTTCCCATTTGTCTACTTGCTTTGTTGTCAACAACTTTTTTAATGCATTTAATGAAGTGTGCAGAGATGTTGATCACATATAAACATTAAAGGACGTAAAGTACTCGAAACCATCTTCACATGTATGTAGCTTGGAAAGGATTTTCGAATCGTATGAAGTATCGAAACTTAAAACGGAAGAACAAATATTGAAAAGGAAAACAAAATGTTTTATTTAAAGTTCATGAGAAGGAGAAAATATGGTATGAAAAATAAAAATAAATATTTCAATTTAATGGGATTAGTATGTTAACATTTAAAGTGTTAAAAAATGTACTGAAATAACAGAAACTTTTACTTTTTGAAATATATTTAAAATTGGAATATTTAAAAAAAAATTTATAAAAATGTGAAGAATCGAATAGCAACGAAAAGACAAGAACAAAAATTGTTCTTGTGCAACCTTGACTACTTGTGAAAACACACAATTAGTTATCGCTTATAATTTAACAGAAATGTCATCAAATTAATATGATGCACTTTTCCATTTGTTTAATTTGCTTCTTCTTTAATTTAATTAATGTCCTTGGAGTAATTAAAAAGACTTTTTAACTGTCATACATTGAACGATATTTTATAGAAGAGTAAAATTTGTCAGTTTCTACCAAGAACTATTAGTTACAGCTGTTAATGGAGGAACTATAATATCGTTTAATGAGTGAAGGGTGTTAGCTATTGATTTGAGCTACAAATTCATTCTGATTGAAAAATTTTGTTCTATAAACAAGTTCATGTGATTTCATTCAAGACAAGGAAATCTTTGAATGTATAAAGTTTGATTATAAACTCATTATAAAGAAATTCGAATTATTCCTAAAACCACTAATGATGAGTAACTTGACAATATTCGAAACAGCGTTGTATGATCAGCCAAATTTCTATAATTTAACTAAATTTTTGTTCTTGTTTTTTCTTCGCTAATCGACTTTTGAATAGTTCTTTTCGTCACGCGTTTTGTCACTGTCGTCAAGAAAAAATTAACATTAAAAATATAATAAAATTATAAAAAATTGTCGAAATATAATGTGAATTCACTATTAGAATGAACACAAAAATGGGATAAGTTTTTTCTTCTTTAAGTATGTGCTTTAATGCAACTTATCAGCAAATTTTTTTTCCCATTTTAAGTAGTGTAATTCTATTTTTGTGGTTTTTTATATGATAAAACCATTATTTCAAACTTTTTATCATGTGCGTTCGACACATGGAGCTATTGTATAAAATAATATTTTTTTTCCTGATCATAACCATATGCTAATGATACTAACCACTTAATCGACACCTCTATCAAATTATCTAGAATAGACAAAATCAATTTGTATATATGGGTCATTCTTTCACAAACCGGACGAATTTTGGCGAAAAATGACCACATGATCTCCGATTTGTCTGAAAATTTTTTTATGAGCTTCTTTCATAAAATAAGAAGACCCGTATCTCGGGAAAAAATTTTGCAATTTTTTTCCTTGGAGATATGAACTCATAGGGTTTTGAGAATAGAATAATAAAACATGTCTTCAGAATTATTTTTTATATTGTAAGTAATTTTTTTTAGAAAAATATAATTATTTTTTCTTCTATACTATATGTAGCAAACAAAGACAATAAGTCTTATACTTCAATAGGACTAAACTAAACTCAGCTAAATATTCTCTTATTGAAGAGAATACTCGATTGTGTTAGTGTTCATATTTTCTGTGTAAGAGCTAACTAGAACTATTAAATAAAACAGAATCCATCAAGCAGTTAGTATTTACTTTGTAACATTTAAAATTATCATGAGCTATGTGAGCCAGTGCCTCACCTTATATACATTTTTTTCAGTTGATTTACGTATAGACTGCCACCTTTTGTGTGACATTTCCTTATGATCACAATTGGAATGAAGTGTGTTTTTCGAAGTGGTACTTTCAGTTCCGGGTATAGAAACAAAATCACACGAGGTTATATTAGGGGAATACGATTAGATCTTATACGATTGCATGTGCTAATTTTTTTTATTTAAGTTTCTTGCGCAGCGATAATACTGTTCCATCACAGAACCCTTGTAAATATAATTTCAAAAATAGTTAATATGAGCACATTTCGCCAAAGATAGTTGTCAAATTTCATATACTAACAAAGTACAGTGCAGGCAACTAACAGTAAAAACTGCCGGTTAGGCATATCTTTTAGGCATATTTTTCAAAACACTGTCAAACTTCCATAACTCGAAGTACCATTTTGCAAAGAAAAGGTTTGACTTATGAAGACTTCGAGTTAGAGAATTTTTTCTTTTATTTATTTTTGAAAGAAACTAGAATTACGTTTTAAGATATTTATTTATTTGCAATCAAATACAGTACAGTTATAGTGAAGTAAAATATTCAGAAATTAGGGTTTGGGATTTTAATATTTTTCTTATTTTCAGTAAAGAGAGATTGCACTTTCTTTATTCTTATAACTCACTCTTATAGTGATCATCAGTTGTAGTATCATTCGTTTGCAAAAAAAATCAGAATTTTGAATGAGTCTTCTACTTCATTCTTGGAAGACTGATGAACAATTTCATTCACCGAATCAGCCTCATCAACATTTCGTTCCGCTTAGAATCGGATCCACTATAATGAGATATAACTGTAGGAAAGCTTGATGTACAAATTTCATTGTCAAGCTCTTTATAATAGAATCGATAAGAGTAGCATTAAAAGTTATTTTATTTACTTTACTTTTACACTACTTTGACATCATTTCAAGGTCTTCATCAATATTATTCAAGAAAATTAAAAGAATTTTTTTTTTAAGCAGTGCGCTACCGTTTGACTATCGTTTGCCAGACTGGCATTTCCACAAAGAAGTAATATAAGAAAGAAAAAATTGACACATTTGGTTTGGAAAACCGGACTTCCCCTAACCTTAAAACAAAAATTCGACTTATAGAATGCACTTTCCCATATTTCTATTGGCACTTGACAATATTTTTATTCGAGTTA